CTGTCATTTTGGAGATTGTATCCCAGTACTGCTTTTCCTACTCTTTTATTGACTATGAAGGCTACTCCATTTCTTCTGAGGGATTCTTGCCCGCAGTAGTATACCTGATGGTCATCTGAATTAAATTCACCCATTCCTGTCCATTTTAGTTCCCTGATTCCTAAGATGTCGATGTTCAGTCTTGTCATCTCTTGTTTGACCACATCCAGCTTGCCTTGATTCATGGATCTTACATTCCAGGTTCCTATGGAGTATAGATCTTTGCAGCATTGGACACTCCTTTCACCACCAGATGCATCAGCAACTGAGTGTCCTTTCGGCTTTGACCCAGTCGCTTCATTCTTTCTGGCACTACTAGTACTAGCCCTCTGCTCTTCCCCAGTAGCATATTGGACACCTTCCGACCTGAGGGGCTTATCTTCCAGTGTCGTATCTTTTTGCCCTTTAGAACAGTCCATGGGGTTTTTATGGCAAAGATACTGGAGTGGGTTGCCATTTCCTTCTCCAATTGGTCATGTTTTGTCAGAGCTCTCTGCTATGACCTGTCCATCTTGGGTGACCCTGCATGGCATAGCTCATAGCTTCATTGAGCTATGCAAACCCCTTCGCCACGACAAGGCAGTGATCCATGAAAAGTATCTACTTCCCCTAGATACTGTTAATTATCCATAGTGGTTTTCAGAATGAGGCTTATGTGAATGCTTTATAGTTGTTTGCATCTTTTCCATAGTTAGGTGTGTCTTGTGAATTTAAATGATTTGGTTCTGACTCGTTTTCTGAAATATGGACTATTGCCTCAAGCAGGTATGGTATCATGTGTATGTTCTGTGGCTAATCTGCATATTTGGTTTGCTTGTCTCAGTTGAAAGTTGGTGCTTTAGATTGGTTTCTGGAATATTAGCTATTGTCTGAATCAGGTACTGGAGTGTAGTTTCTTTGTACATTTCATAACATGGTGTAACATTCTCTTCCAGTCATGTGTGGCAGCTGAACATGGTTGGTTTGAAACTTACTTGGGAAATGGCATTCTGACCCATTCCATTCGGCTTTGGATTAGTTCTGAATATTATGAAATTAATAGTAACATTCAAAGGTATCAGTCCTGAACTACTAACACTGCATGATGTTTGGGGTATATGTTCATTTTAAATAAGCCAGCTTTTTCTGTTTTAGTTGTAACACCATTCTCAAAGATCAGTCTCAAAATCCCCACCCAGCCCGAAGCCAGCTCGGCACATGGCAAGTAGTTTTAAAACATTTTCGGACACGTTGCATTTTAATAGTAATTTTGTAAAAATGATAACCGCCTTTTCTACATGAAGACCTGAGCTCCCTTTGTTACCATTTGTGTGTACACCCGCCCAAACACAAGCTAAAGGATGATGATGATGGACACCTCTCACTTCCGAGTTGGCAGCAAAACAGAGAGGTCTAAGGAAACCCGAAGACCGACGTTCTCTAAGATTCTAATTAAGTCTATGCTGCGGGCGCCGGAAACAGGAAGTGCGAGAGGGACGGTTAGCAAAAATAAACAACCGTATGGCTCCAGTTGACAAGATGGCGGTGCTGCGGCCGAGCCGTCTAGGGCTGGGGGCTTTCTTCTTGCTTCTCGCTCTGGGCTGTGAGGCGGCTTGGGCCGACGGGGAGCTTTCTTCTGACTCCTTTTCCGAGGCCTTCGAGCCGGCGTTGGGCAATACTGCTCCGTGCCAGCGAATCTGCCAGAGTACCTACCCGCTCCACACTTACCCCAAGGTAAAAGAGGGGACAGAGTCCTCCTTCGCAACCAAATAACTGCCGCTGGAATACCCCCCAAGGTGGCTGTTAGCTAGCGCTTAGTGCAGTTTCTCTGTGCACTTAGGCCAAAGCTGTTTCTACCCTCCCCGCTCCCTTCCTTGTTTGTAAGGGAGTGGGGTGGCAGCTTGTGGTTTTAAACGAAATGAAATTCTGGTATCGGCTTGGAGACGGAGAGCTGTTGTATTTTCGCTGCTGATTTATTAATTTGGAAAGCATATATCTTCTTTGATAAAGTGACTAACGGTATACTGCAGTAACACGCACACAGAAAGCAGCTCTTTTGTTTTGGCGGATGGACGAGAGCAGAGCATATTTAGGAGATCCTCGGAATTATTCCCATTTGTTTGGTTGCTCTTCTAATCTGGAGGTAAACTGACAGTGGCCAAGATTTTGTAAGTCTGATCCACGATTGCGTGGAATGGGACCTTAAGTGCCTGTGCTCTGGAGTTCCGTATCAGTGCAGATTACACTAGCCAACTCTTCTGGGGGTTTCATGTCTCCTGAGGACATACTTCTTTCAACAAGCATTCCGAAGAGAATAGTCGTGTTTCTGTATATATTAGTAATATGCTGTATTTAATTGTGATCTTCTAATTCTGGGTGTCTCTGAGAAATATATTTTACAATTATTAATAAATCTGCTTTAGTAAAATTAATGCTTCTCTTGCTCTTCATCCCCAGGTCAGCTGGTAGTTTGAGTTGAATGTTTTTTGGGGGTGGGAAGCAAGCTTCTTGCAGGTGCACCCTCCCTAAATGATGGGTGAAGCCAGGTTGATTTTCCCTTTGCCTTCATGTCTCCCCTAAGAGGGGAGTGATCCTTAACACTTTGGACAGTGGATTAATATATTGTTAAGTGTGTGTGTGTGTGTGTGTGTGTGTGTGTGTAATGGAGCATAGTGTTAACATTGAGGCTAGCAGAAAGACTGGATTGGCCCTCAACTTGCTCCACGAGCAAAGTGAAAGGACTCCACAGGCTGGTGGGTAAAAGCATGCTTCCTGCAGTTCCCTCCACCAAATTGCACCCCTACTTTGACATTTGCCCATGTAGCATAAATACCCTAATTAGAGGCTGGACTGTAGTTCCTTTATATCCTTGAATCGAGGCTTCCTGATTTAGGGTTGCCTGCTGACATGATAGTTTTCTTTTATATGGATCTCATTTCATGTCTACTGTTTTTCTTGTTTGGGAGAGACCCATTTCACTAAAGGCAAAGGTGCAGTTCCACACTACGTATTATAGGATGTGAAATACAATTGAATTTGTATTGGTACTTTGCTTTTTTGAATTACACAGGAAACACACAAAATCTAACAGAACAGCAACAAACAAGCAAACAGAACAAATAAATATAAAGGCAGCGAAAGATACAACAAGCAATATTAAGGGTATACCAGTTTCTTCAGTGTTTCTCACTGTCAAATGGCTTATGAAATGAGAAATTTTTCATACAGTGTTGGATAGCGAGAACTCTAAGCAAATTGGGTATAATGGCAGAAAATGTATTTTGCTGCATACTCCCCTGCATAACTTCAGATAATGGAGTGAGGCAGCTGTCTTGTATCAGGTGAGACCATTGGTCAGTCTATCTCAATACTGTCTGCACTGCTTGGCAGCATGTCTTCAGAATTTCAGGCGAGTCTAGCGGAGCCTGGAGATACCTGGGGCCTTTTTGTTGCAAAGCATGTGGTCTGCTACTGAGTTACACTGACTTTTCTGTTGGAGACCAGCATCCCAGCCAAGGATGGGAGATAAAAAATAGGCATATTAGTTGATGCTTGAGATGTAGTACCAGGCCATTTAGGTTTTAGGAATAAGGAACTTTCAGTTGTGCCCAAAAGCAGAAGCCAATGCAGATGGTATAGTATTAGGATTTACATGCTCCCTATAGCAGGTGCCTGTTAGGACTCTAACTGTTGCATTTTCTGGCAAGTTTTCTGAATGTTGTTCAGCAGTAGCTCCACAAAAAGTATATTATTGTTGAGCAGTCAGATTCTAACATGCACACAGATCAAGCCTAACCAGAAAAGGATACAGTTGGCGTAGAAGCCTAAGCTGGAAAAACACTTCTAGCCAGTTCTGCTGCCTGGAGTTCTAGGAGCACCAATAAACCTGTTCCTTGCGGGGGAATGCAATACCCTAGTCCTGACTTCATTTTATAGCCAGTCAAGAGTATTTCCATTTTGCCTGAATAAAGTTTGAGTTTGTCAGCCCCATCCATCCCAATGATCTTAGCCAATGGTTCAAGAGTGTCGCTGTTTCCCTAGAATTTGATGAAAAGTAGTGAGCATTCACTGTTGTCTTTGTGTTGATAGCATTATAATCCATACTTTCTAATAAAGTTTCCAGCAGTTTTATGTAGACACTAAGAGTGAGTGAAATTAAATGAAACTGAGAGGACCTCAGATCAAGTGGCAATTTCTGGTTAATCTGCTAATGTCAGTATTTTAAAAACTAGAGTATAACTTTGTTTTGGTGAATCAGTGTCTGCTTTGCTGTATACATTAAAATATGGTATTTACAGGAAATTACATAATGGGATGGGATGGCAGTTTTAAAACTGGAGCATGAGCATGTGCTTGACATCTTGAGTTAGATGTACAGTGTTAAATGAAATTTGAGTTTAACATGTTAAGACTAACAATATTCACTTTCTGGCATCAATAATTTTCCCCACTCTGTAATTGGGGTTTTCATTTTCATCTGTCTGTCAACTATTACCTATATCTAACAGGAATATTTCTTGCATTCAGATACATATTCTGTTTCTAAATCTTCTCTTTCTTAAGTATTATTGATGCAAATTACCTTTGCTTGTTCTTCCCGTGGTTTTAAAGCATTGATCCATTGATCTGCTAAATAGAACTAGAGTTCATGAGTTTTGTTTGAGCCATCATTTTATGATGGCTCTACAGCTATACAGAAATGGTGACTTCCTGTTAGATATTTCATATGTACACCATTTGTGCCAAAGTCAAGTGTATATAGATTTTTTTTTCAACTGTTTAGTTTCAGAGTTCTGTAAGTTGTTTGAAGACATGTTTTAAAGCCTGTTTTACTTTAATCATATAAAATCATCACCCCTTAAAAATCTGCTGAATTCTTACTTTACAAAGTTCATCAGTCTTTTAGCTCTCTATTAAAAGTGATATAATCAAATAAAAGGGCAAGAAATTGCAGAAGTTAACTTTCCAACACATTGTGTGCTTTTATGGTATGTTGTGTTCAGAAGAATGTTTATAGAAGGAGGCTTATATAAATAGTGACATGTTGGCATTTAATTACTAGGAAGAAGAGCTCTATGCATGTCAAAGGGGCTGTAGACTCTTCTCCATTTGTCAATTTGTGGATGATGGAATTGACTTAAACCGGACTAAGCTGGAATGTGATTCTGGTAAGATAACCTAGCATGTTTTTCACATTATAACAGATGTCACTAGTCTTTTTAAAATATATATTTTTTCAATATAAAATCCAATTTTAAAAACTTACAATTAAAATAAGAGCGCACAACATTAAGCATACAATTAAAATACTTTAAAAACTTCATTTTTTAAAAACTGTGCACCTTATCACCAGAACCATTGGTCAGTCAAAAAGTTCTTTCAAGAAATCTCTCCTTTCCAAACTAGATAGTGTCTTGTAAAGGTTCTAATCCTTTTCTCTTTTTAAACACATATATAATAAATGCACCTCAAATCTCATTAAAATTATGTTTATGTACCCTTTTCTCACTTTAATATCACAACTTTATCATTAATAGCTATATTTCAGACTTCTTTATACCAATTACACGGTTATAGGATTTTACTTTCCATTATTAGCTATTATTCTCTCACTGTTGTTAAGTTTGTTATTAATTCTCTATTATTCTTACTCCATTGTTTCTTATCAAATATTGAGAGTAATGTGATCTCAGGACATAATTTGATATTTAAACTTAGTATTTTGCTGCTCCCTCTTTCCAAAACTTCATTATATATTCACATTTCCACCACATATGAAAATACATACCTACTCTACAGCCACACCTCCAACAAAAATTAGAATATTTACTGTCTATATGATTCAGCTTCACCAGGGTTAAGTACCATTTCCATACTATTTTTTTCCCTTTATTCTTACTTAAATACATTTTATCTATTAGCCCACCCAGAAATTTTCCCAGGCTTCATTACTAATATTCTTAGATCTGTTTCCCATGCAGCTTCAAGTGGATCATATTGATCCTGAGATTCTGACAATATCCTAGATTTTGTTTATGATCCCTTTCATCTATATATTATGTTTTTTTTCCTTATTTCCAATCATATTTTCACATTTGGTATAACCTCTCCATCTGCCTCCAACATTCTAATTGGATCACCTTATACCAAGAAGATAGGTTTTGAAATTTTTGCTATGAAAGAAGAGTCATGTAAAGGGCCTAAGCTCAAAAAGGTGAAATTAGCTCAGAATTCCCTCTGCATGTTTAATGGCACAGATCTTCCTTCATCAGAGAAATCTATGGCATACACATACCTTACAACACAGAGAATGTGGTAATTTAATTACATTTGCTTGTGATGGTGTTGCATGTTTGGGTGTTCAGCTCATCATATAATCTTATGGTATTACTAATTCTCAACTTAAGCACATAAATTTAGGACCTACAAATGGACTCAGTGACCTACAAAAGGTGTTTGGCTATGTGAAAAATATTTTTGTCCCAATTTTTTAGTATTTCTTTGACTTACTTGTGATTTTTATAGACCTTGCATGTAGTTCTAGCCATAACTTTACCTCAGTGGCATATTCTATTATGGTGTTGGATGTTGGGAAGTGGAGTCCAACAACAGCAGCATGCTTTATGGTGCTGTTAACTTGGATTTCATATGCAAGTGCACCTTAGTTGTTGATCCTGAAGGTCTGACCTTTGGAACTGAGAGAACTCATATTCTTTTACAGCATGTACTGAGGCATATACCTCTCACTCTGATGAGCAGTATGCTTGCCGTCTTGGATGCCAGAATCAATTACCATATGCTGAATTGAGACGAGAGCAAGTAAGTATTAACTTGTTAAATCAGTGAATAACTTTTAATTGCTTGTATTGCCATTCTACTTTAAATACAAATACTGAATAGAAGAGCTCTTTAAATTAATCTGTTTCTTGTTGGTTTTATGCTAAAATGGAAAGAGCATTTTAAAAACCATCAAACTCTTTGTTTGCAGCTCACGTCCTTAATGCCAAAAATGCATCTTCTCTTTCCTCTTACACTTGTGAGATCATTTTGGAGTGATGTGATGGAAACAGCTCACAGCTTCATGACCTCCTCATGGACTTTCTATCTCCAAGCTGATGATGGTAAAATATTGATCTTCCAGGTACTTGTTATCCTGTTCTGCTATTACAGAGTTTAAAGGATCCTGTGGAGCAGGGAGGGTGCTTCTAGTTACAAACCAACTCTACAGTGTATGTCTGGCTCTGTCCCAATATGAAAATGTTGGGTTTGTTACCGAGTAAGATTAAAGACTGAGGTGTAATATTTGTGTTGGCTTAAATTACTATTTGTCGGTTATTGTATGCATGACGATCTTAGGATTGTATGCATTCCATACACTAATCTGAACGTTTGAACGTTATAATTCCAGTCAAAGCCAGAAGTTCAGTATGTTCGGAGTCGTGCTCAGGAAACCCCGAATTTAAAAGACTCGTCGCTTAGTAAAGCATCTTGTAAGTTAATCTGAGTGAACATTTTAGGGAATGGAATACACTCAATTATTACTTGTATGAAAAAAAGCCATTCTCTTTACTGAATGGAAAACAGTTTTGACAAATGTAATCTTTGATTCAAAACTGAATAATTCACTATTGGAGAGTAAGATAACAACAGAAATCTCCAATTTATTTTGGATGTTGTTTATTTAGAATCAGTTTGTTGTTTCAGCCTCTGTGTGTTATGTTCAAAACTATGGCAACAACATATATTTTATGGGTTTTCTACTACAGTTGCCTCAGTAGCCCTGTCCAGCAAGGTATTTCATGTTAATTACAATTTTTTAAAAAAATCTGGACATCTTTCTAGCTGTTCTTTTTCTCCAGGAGTTTCTCCCATTGAGACACAAACAACTTCTCTGTCTCAATATTTATTTATTTTTTCTTGTTAAAAAAGGCATTTTAACAGAGGGTTTTTTGGAGAAAAATATGTTGAATAGGCAGTAACATCCAACACTGCTACTGCATTAGTAGTGTTAACAGCATTCATAGGACTGGGTATCTTAGTTTATATATCCCCTGTGATGATATTATTAAAAATTTAACAAAAATGAATGTCTCTCTTCAGTAGATCTGCAGCCAGAAGGACCACAGACACACAAAGGATTCTTTGATGAGGATGACAGTGACAGCTTCTTCAAATGTATTTCAGTGTATGTATTTTTGAGCAAATGAAGTTAAATCTCCTAAAAGAGAACTGTACTTAATTCCCAGTGTTTTACCATACTTAATTAAATTACTAGCACAGTGCTACTGCCCTGGCTTACATTTAACAAGTTCTCAATGAAACTTCCAAAGTATTCTGTATTAGTGCACTTTTACCATGTGAATGAAATTTGAGAAAGCTGTTGGCTCACATGAAACATTTTGGATTAGTTTAGGTATGAAAGATGCGCAAGTAGTTTATCTGCTAGGCTGATGACATAGAATGTTTTGTGATAAGGTAGTTAGAGTTTTGAATCATGCCAGGATTGTAAATCTAATTCAAACCATGGTTAATCATGGCTTGTCCTAAAGCAGAGTAATTATATTTTCCCAGTTGAGATGAAATCAAAGTTATGGAGAACTGAATAAATCTAAATTTCATTCAGGCATGCCAAGTAGGAAAAGGGTACTGCATGCAAGTCCAATTTTTGTCAATATCTTCACTATTGCTGTCAAAATATGTGTGCAGCCTGCATCACTTAGTATTTTATTAAATGAAAAGATAGTGAGCATGATAGCCTCTTAATTAAATAACAAATACATATTTGTTATTTTTATTTTTTAAATACTAACTATGGAGGCATCGAAAAGTCTGCATAATTTGGATTGTGTGTATAGAAACTTGTTTCAGACAAGGGAATAATATGGGGAAAAGACAGTATCACTTTTCTCAAGCTTTAATTTATGAATAGCCTGGCTTTTTTACATTCTAGAAATTCTGGATGGATATTAACAACCACACTTCTACTCTCTGTATTGGTGTTGCTCTGGATTTGTTGTGCAACTGTTACTACTGCTGTGGAGCAGTATATTCCTGCTGAGGTAACTTTAATCCTGCCACATTATTTAATTTAATAATTTAGTTTAATCTTAACAATATCTTGAATGCTATTTTGGAGGAGATTAATGTACTTTATGGAGGAGAGATGAGAACTAATGATCCCATTAGCCTTCAGTGTATCACCTTTCAACTGTGAATAAACATACCACATGAAAACCAACATAAATTCTACTTAGAGGAGATGCATTGTAATTAATGGGAGTTGAGTTAGCTGTGATTAATTTAAGTCATATTAATTTAATAGGTTTATTTCAAGTAGGGCATGCATTGGATTTTACCTATCAGCTTGTAGCTAAAACTTTTAGTTTCCTAATCAGCTGTTGTGAACCCTGAGAGCAAATTCAAAATAGTGCATATTACAGCAGTAGAGGCAGGTCAGAGTATCTCCTTTGGAGAATTAAATGCTAACAATAATGCTGTTGGGTGAACCCTAACATCTCCTAGCAGAAGGAAGAATTACATCTGTTTCCTGTTTGGTGAAGCAATGTTTTCTGAACTTGATGGACAGTGTGTGTGGTTGCCACACTGTACTATTATGGTACAGATAAACAACTATGCCAAGAAATAAGAAAAAGTTATAGGTGGGAAAGCAATATAGATATATTAATGAAAATAAATTAGAATCTCAGAAGCAGGCAACATCTAGGAGGCCACATATGCATCATGTAAAAGATACAGTAACCGTTTGCATGGCACAACAGCCGCCATGGCTTAATTGATTTGCCAGGCCTGAAGCATTATGCTGGTTGCCTGTGGATGCCATTTTTGCATGGTGTCCACAGGTATCTGATTTGCTGTGGTGTTTTATGTTGTGCAAACCCTCCAACAATCCTCAAACAACCCATTAATTAAGGTACAGTAGGCTGTCATGCAAACTAAGTCAGTGGCTTGTTGGATTAGATAAAGATCTAGCATTGCAGTACTTTGAGAATCTGTGTACAGTCATTAGGAAAGTTATGGTATTCAACTAAATTATTACATCCAAAATGTTCATTATATATTAATTCTTCAAGTATGTTCTATTGATCTGTGCTTTAAAAATGTTTGGTGGTGTCTCAAGAATATACAGAGACATTTCACTTCCTGAAGGGTAGCTTCCCTAATCTTGTCTTCCCCTTTTCCCACAGCTTTCTGCTAAGTGAACTAAATATATATAATCCTGTGTTTACAATCCTAAGCAT